TGGAGGCAAAGGAATAGAATAAAACTTCAGTGAACTTCTGGAAAGTGGCTGACTGTGTGAGCGCAGACTCCAATAAAATCCAAAATAATACAGAAATGGGAAATCCTACATTTCAAATTGTATTTTTTTTATTTTTTGTAAAAGCAGTTTTCATAAGGAAACAAGGAGCAAAGGAACAGATGAAACAGTCTCAATACCCAAGCAAACTAACTTCCTGATTCTTTCCAAATTCAGACTGTGAAAAGGTTTTTTGGTCCTGGTTAGGGATGTAAGAAAATGTCGTTATGGCAATATGTCATTATAAATTTTCAAGCGATATATCTATATTCAAAAGCCGTGTATCTAATTTTTTGGAAAAATTTACATGCATTTATGTATTTTCTTTTCTTTTGGTGCAATTCAAACACCAACCGCTAAATGGCAGCAGTGTGCGATGGGGTTTGTTTCCACCATTAATATGTAAATCCCTCTGTTATGGTTCAGATACCTGATGTTAAACATGTTACATATCAGTTTGGACTGTTTATCGAATATTCCTATGGAAAAATCAGTCTAAAGAATCGCTAATATCGACTGAATTTATGGCAATATATCGTGATACATTGTATCCTTTCCCTGTATTGTGATACTTATCGTATCGCCATACACATCCCTAGTCCTGGTGATCCACGGCACAAGTGTGGGAGGCAAAAAGGCTCATAACTCATGGATGTAAAGGCAAATGGGTTCAAATCGGTTTGTTCAAACACGATCTAGTGACTAATAAATGCTGGTACATACAAAAAAGCCCCATTATGTATAAAACAATAAAAACACATCTAGTATGGAACACTTTCACCTCTAATGCACGGGTTAGCTTTAGGTTGTTTATAATTGGTCATGCTGTGGTGGTGATGTGGTGCAATTGGGTCCTTTTTACAAAAGGCATAAACGGGGTATGGGGGCGGTCTCTGCACTGCTGCAGACTTCCGCTTAACTTGGACATAACTTGGGTTTTATTGCGATCGAAGCCACACTCATTAGGTTTTTTTTGTTCTTTTTAACAAGCCGCTCCTTAAGGTGTCTGTCCCCCACAGTCCATGCAGTCACTGGTGATCTGACCTCCAGCTCTAACAGAGAGAAGCTCCAGGAGCGCTGCATCGCTCCAGATTATCATCTCAGCTGATTCTGTTCACAAAAACAAAACTTAGGCCTGTTTTTACTTTCATTTTAGTTGCCGCCCGGGGCTCGGCAGTAATGGTCCATTCCCTTCTGTACCGGGTCGGCCCGGGCCGGGTAGCCCCAGTCGGCCCCAGCCTGGCCCGGTTGATTCCACAAATCCTTGTCTTAAGCCCATGTGGGCTGATTCTACCCACCAATCAGAGGCTTGCTCTAATGCAGACCTGGGCATTTTACGGCCCGCGGGCCACATACGGCCCTTTGGTTGACTTTGACCGGCCCGCGTAAGGTTAATTGGAAATTACAAAATAAATGTATTTTCTCATTTTACCTCATGCATGGGCTAAGGCTGCATTGCTTTTATTTTGAAGTTGTTTTTTACGTGCACAATGACGCAATACGTATAGCAACAAGTGCCCGCGGTTGACAGGGTGATTGTAGCCCGAGAAATGTCCGCTCATGCAAAAAAAAAAAAAAAAAAAAAAGAAAGATGCCGAATGCAGGATTTTCAACAAAAATTGGACTGCTAAGTATTTTTTTTACTGAATTCGGAGGTAAAGCCGTGTGTTTGGTTTGCGGGGAGGAGATTGCCGTGTTTAAGGACTACAATTTGAGTCGGCATTACGACAAGAAACACTCGGAAAAATACAAGAACTCATCTGATGCTGAGAGGGCACGGACATCCGAAGCTTTGCTAGCAAAGTTGCAAAAGCAGCAAGGCTGTTTTACTAAGCTTCACACATCCAGGGATGCAGCAACCAGGACCAGCTTTGTGATATCCCACAAAACAGCTAAAGACAGCAAGCCGTTTTCAGAGGGAGAGTTTGTCAAAGAGTGCATGGTGGACTCTGCCGCACTAATATGCCCTGAAAAAAAGGCGCATTTGAGCAAATCCCGCTGTCCAGGCGAACCGTGACCAGGAGGATCGAGGACATTGCGGGGAACCTGGAGCTTCAGCTGCAACGTGAAGTGGCAAGTTTTGACTTTTTCTCATTAGACGAGAGCTGTGATGTCCGCGACACAGCCCAGCTGCTCGTATTTGTCCGGGGGATAACGGAGCTCACAGAGGAGCGGGCAGCAATGCGGCCGATGAAAGGGACAAAGACAGGGAGTGATCTTTTTACAGAGGTAAATGCGTGCACGGACACTCTGGGATTGAAATGGGAGAGACAGTCAGGTGTCACAACAGACGGTTGTCCAAATCTTACAGGGAAAAATGTCGGACTTTTGAAACATATGCAAGATAAAGTGACAGAAATCGATGCAGATCAAAAATTGGTGTTTTTTGCATTGAATTATACACCAACATGTGTTTTGCAAGTCAGTGCTAAAAATCAACCATGTTACTGATGTTGTTACTAAAATAATAAACTTCATCAGGGCGCGGACAATGGATCACAGACAGTTTGTCGCTCTTTAGGAGGACTCCACACAGCTGTCAGATGGCTCAGCCTGGGGAAAGTGCTGAAGAGGGTTTGGGACTTGAAAGCAGAGATTCAGGATCTCTGCTGGATTTCTACTCTTCTCTTAAGGAGGAGCACTTTCCAAACCTGAAGAGACATGCTCAGAAGATGTTGGTTTTCTTCGGCTCTACCTACATTTGTGAACAAACATTTTCAATGATGAAGTTTACAAAATCCAGGTAAAGATCCTCTCTCACTGATGATCATTTGTCAGCTGTGCTTCGCATCTCCACCTCAGACATTCAACCTGACTGATGCACTCGTTAAAGCCCAGCAGAGACTAGATTTCTCTCATTGAATAAGAAAAAAATCACTTAAAAACACAAAATAAGGTGTTTGGACCACAAATGTAGGCAACTAGCAGTGAACTGGGACACTTTTTTTTAAACCTCTTTCTCAAGATCACAGTTCAGTGATTTTATTTTACAGACAATACTGTGTGTCTGTAGAACGCTAAGAACCTCTTTCCAACAATATTTGAAACTCAAAATGTGTTTTGGAGTGAATGTGACTAAAACTGTTAACTAATATAAGTCACAAATGTTTAACAAAAACCAAATGCGCACTTTGTTTACCATTGCCTTGGGAAATTTGAATAAATCACATTTTTGTAAGCCAACCTCACTTTTTCCTTTTTGCTCATTTATAACATATAGTCTACTCTTACCAGCTTGAAAAAACAATGGTATTTACTGCTTTTTATAAAGAAATACCACTAATATTATGCATAATTGACTTCAGCCTTTTGGCCTGGCCCTCCACAATATTTTCTATTTCTCATGTGGCCCCATGGAAAAAATAATTGCCCACCCCTGCTCTAATGGAAGGTGGGAATTTGCTGTCAGCAGTGGGTGTGTTGGCCCTGGTCGGCCTGAAGCAGACCCCCTCGAGAAGAGGGCTGAGAATGAGCCTTGGTTGGCCCGGAAAAATACCAGGCCACCCAGATATGTAAACAACCTACGCTACCCAGCCCGGGCCGACCCGGTACAGATGGGAATGGCCCGTTACTCTCCACGTGATCATGACCCCATCCTTTGTTGCACCAAGGTACAATCGCCGATTATAAGACAGACAATTACCGCAATATTACTACCGAGCAAGGTGGAACAAATGCAGAAATTTCCGCGCAACGTCATGCCAGCATGGCGTGTTCATAAGACACACCCTTGTTGTAATATTACGCTGATTTGCCAGCACGGTGTGTAAAAAGGGCAACAGGCAGCGTTACAACAAAATGTCAGCACCAAAGCTGAATGTATTCATGTGCCTGAGACATTATTCTCACCTTATTTTTTCAATTTGAAAGGAGAAAAGTGTCCTCACTGCATTTTATTAAACACTCACAAAGGAATGAATTTAACCAGTGTGAAATGTGTCGCATTAATTCTTTTGTGCAAATGTAAATGTGAGCCTGGGATTCTCCAACTCCGATTGCTCTGTTGTCTCTTAAAAGAGAAACACTTTAACATGAAGTAAACCTTCTGGCTCTGAGCAGTGTAAAACTCCTTCTGCTGCGTGACAACAAACACCTAAGCCCTCGATGCCAGATCTGTAAAATTAATCGGTCTGGTACAGTTAGGGGGATGTTGTTTTGAACTGTAATAGATTTCAAGAGTCCACTGGATCTTAGGTTTTATTTTTACAGTGTAATGAGCAGAAACAGCCTTTCTCATGGATACTCTGCTTAGAAAAAAATGAAAAGGGGGGGGGGGGGGGTGTTCACTTTCATTATGTTTTAAAGGAGACATAACATGAAAAACCCACTTTTTTATCCATTAACACAGTGTGTTTCACATTTTAAGTGTCTAAGTGAGCAAAAAGGCTTATATTATTCACTGGAGTTGCTATTTAGATATTTAATAATTAAGTTTTGGGCATATTTGTCCACCCGTTCAGTTTTTCACATTATCTATTACATCAGTAATTTATTTCGTCAGGATAACTACCAAATATGGTAATGGCCCTCGGCTAAACACAGAGCCAATCTGCCATTTTTTCTTCTCGCTAAGATTTTTTGTAGTCCTATTGGAAAAATGCAGAATGTCTGGTTATTTTAGCCACACACAGCTCAAAACTGTTCCTCGTTTTAAGGAAGGGTGGTGTGGCAGTATTTAAACCCAGGAGCTGATGACACTACTGCTAAAAAAACACAGAAGAAAAAGTAGTGTGTTTGTGTTTGTTTGTGTGTGTGTGTGTGTGTGTGTGTGTGTGTGTGTGTGTGTGTGTGTGTGTGTGTGTGTGTGTGTGCGTGCGTGCGTGGTTCGTTCGTTCTGTCTCCAGGCTAGTGGCTAAGTACTGAGGGCTCCATCTGAATTTGGCAGCACCGGGACACAGCAGCAGAGCGGTAAGCTTCATATAACTCTAAAATGTCGACAAACTTTACTTTAGATTTATGGGCATTAGCAGCACTAAAGCGTTAGCATCCGGCTTGCTATCGCTAGCACAGTATGCTAGTAAAGTTAGCACCTAGATTAATGTGGATTTGGCTGATTTTCGTGGAATAAAACGTGATTTCTGATCAACGCCTTCTTTTACACCAGATGATAACCTCCCACTGATTGTAACAGCAGAGAGCCTGTGTGTTATTCTACGTGAGTGTGATGTAATCTTAGCATCCAGCAAATAAAGTCCCATATCAGCTAAAATGCAGCGTGACAAAGTCATTAAAGTGCGTCAACACAGTGGATTTAATAGAGTTTTAAAGAACGATCTCTGAGTGGAGTGAGGTTAGTTTTTTTGTCTCACTGCAGATATAAAAACTAACTCTGCATCAGTCAGACGCAGCAAAGCTCACCGTCTGTATGAGCGTGAGCGTCGGAAAGCTGATAAAATCGGCTGTAAAATAATTAAAACAAAAGTAAAAATGCTCCTTTGCTTTTTAGAGTCAACATCCAGAAGTCTGGAGCCGTGTTTCACTGACAGGCTGTCAGACTAACGCCCTGATGAGCTCAGCTGGGACAAACTGGTCTGATGTTTAGGTAAGTGAAGATCTGCTTCTCCAAGTCCTTGAGATACTAGTAAAAAATAATGTAGCCAGCTGGCAAATGTTACTTTTCTTCTCCTCTAAGGAACACAGAACGTTCAGATGTTGGCGTTTCACGTCACCTACTGAGGAAGGAGGCTCACCAGTAAAGAGATGGTAGCTGGACCAGACCAAAGTGAGTGATGACACACCTCAGCCACCCTCATCATTAAGAACACCTCACCCCTGAATCACTCCGTCTGATGACAGCAGAGTGATTTATTTGATGTTTTACTTGTTTAGTCTGTTTAGAAATTATTGAATTACATTATTTTCTGTAATCGACCATCTGATCTGGATGTGTGCAGAATAACTTTCCCCAAATTCAGCAGCAGCTGGCCTACAAAAACAGCTGCAGCATGTAGTAAGTCTGTCTGCACTGCTCTCTAATGAGCTTCCTTTCATAAGGAGTCATTTGTATAATTTTAGTGTCACTATTTTATTACATTTGTAAGAATATGAAGTCACTGCAGCAAAGTGAACTTGTGAACAAACACAAACTTGACTATAAACATGAAAGCTAAAGAAACAACTTTCCTAAAGCTGCTTGTAAACAAAATACGTCATTAAAGTTATTGTCTATCATTGCAGAATATGGCGATGACATCATGGAACTGGTCTTTGGAAAAGTTTTCCCTGAACCAACTCCGTTTCTAGATGAGGTAGAGAAGATCTGCATCTCACCAACCCTCTGGTCTCAGTATTCAGACAACGGAGGTCTCCCACTGTTATCCAGGACCAGTTTGAAGCCCACATACTGCCCCTCCCTCATCATCAGGAAACATCAATCCGTTTCCTGAGGACAACAGAAGACGGCAGGAGGACAGGAACTCTGTGACCTAGATACCACCAGCACCGAGACACAAAGCACCTGTGTGCACAACGCCTGTTTAACTACTAAAGCCTGTTTATTATATTGTTCTACTTATTTGCTGTGAGGTTAATACTTAGAAAATTTGTATATTAATGTAAACAATAAAAAAAATCACTGATTGTATGTTTTCTTTTAGATGTAATGGTCCAAACTCAGCCTTGTAGACATTTATTGCATCCTGTAGGTAACAGGCTCAGATCCAGGATGACCCAGCATGCTCTTCTTCCATTCTGGCTGTTAGGGATTTTATCAATAACTCAATGCCTTCTGATGTTTTAACCTAACAGTATTTATTTAGAATGCAGGTAAGATTTAACTATATTTGTTAGCAAAGCAGACTGATCTTGGGAATTTCACTGCAGCACTGATGTCCACCTCTCTGTACACATTAGAGAGAATTACCACTTTACAGCTAAACACATTTAATAAAGATATAGGCTAAACATTGCAGACAATAAAAACAAAGTTGTAAGCATTAGAATTATAATGATCACATTAAAGAACATTTGGAGGAATGTTCTTTATTTTTGACTAGAATCTCAAATCTTTAAATTAAAATGTAACTGCTTTTTATCCATTTTCAGCCTTTAAGACACCCAATATAAAATAAGACTACTTATAAAATTATTTATAATTATATGTATGTATATAGATAGAGATCTTAATAAAATATATTCTTTTAATGGTGTTTTAATGAGCTGTATCATTTTTTTAAACATTTTTTATAGAAATAAGCAAGCAGCATTCCTTGTGTGTGTGTGTGTGTGTGTGTGTGTGTGTGTGTGTGTGCGCGCGCGTGTGCCTGCTCGCTTGTCCCTCCGTCGGCCGTGACGGTGTCGGTACAAGATCTGCTCGGGTGCAAGATCGGCTCGGGTCCGTCGACTGCCGATGACGTCTAAGTAGTTGATTGGCTGAACATGAACCTTACGGAATTACGTAATCACGTAACGTTGTTATCACGTGACGTTGGTCCAGGCAAATTTTTTTCTAATGGAAAGATGGACAACTTTTACAAAGAAATCCATCATTACCTCTTTGAAAATACACTTTTAGCATAGAGCTGCAAGTATAATAGGGCTGAACGATTAACTGCATGTGCAATAAAATTGCGATGTGACAAAAGAAGATTTTCTAATGGCAAAGGCTGCAATTTGGCAGCGAGTGGTTAGCGCAATGCTAATATACATGGAAAAACCCATAGGAATGCTAATGCTAATATCGCAGATTACATTATTACAAATTATGAATTAGAAACGTGCCAAATAATTACATTTGGAGTCTAATAGAAAGTAAAAATACCATCAATCAAATAAGTACAGACAGGTATTTTAGTAAAGCCAGGAGATTTTCTAATCTCAAAGGCTGCAATTTGGCAGCGAGTGGTTAGCGCAATGCTAATATACATGGAAAAACCCATAGGAATGCTAATGCTAATATCGCCGATTACATTATTGCAAATAATGAATTACAAACGTGCCAAATGATTACATTTGGAGTCTAATAGTAAAGCCAGAAAACTTTTAACTCCAGAGTTTTGGCTAGCAGCTACAGTCTATGACAAGATGTCAAAAACTCTAAACACAAAATACTTAAATAAACGGGACACACTTCTTTCCTGCAAATTTCACAGGTGTTTCTAATACCTATGATTCTTCAAGGGATGTGCTCAAAGAGGAGTTCAACATTATGAATAAGATATAGTGTTTTATTTTACAAATACCATTATAAACACAAACTTACATCTTAAGAAACGTTATTTTAATAATGAAAGTGCTAAATTCTTTCCAACAGTATCTAGACGTGTAGTGTATTTTGTCCGAGTCGGTTTGCCGTACTTTGACGTCATCGGCAGTCGAAGGACCCCGAGCCGATCTTGCACCCGAGCAGATACTGTACCGACACCGGGTCTGTGTGAGTGACAACAGACAAATGCATGAGAGAGTTAGCAGCCATGAAACAGCTTGATGAACTACTCTCCCCACATGTTTTAAAAATGCTAATATGCTATGCTAAATCTGCTATGCTAAATAATGATTTCTCTATAGAACTACAAAGTCCGACTGGGGGAGGAGAGTACAGGTCTGCACTATGGAGGGGGGGCAGAGTTTACAGCTCCTCCTCCAGTTTAAAGAGACAGTACCCAAAAACGGCTCGTTCTCAAGACTCTCCTCAGAACAGGGGTAGATGAGGGTCTGTAGAGCAACAATAATGAGGAAATCAGACCAAAGAACTGCAGTTCTACTGTATTTAGACCCCAACTGAAGGATTTAGATGTAAAAAGGAATAACTTAAAAGCATGTTATGTCTCCTTTACATGTATAGGGCTTGTCAGTTTTACGTGTATAGGGCTGGTCAGTTTTACGTGTATAGGGCTGGTTACTTTTACGTTTATAGAGCAGGTTAGTTTTACGTGTATAGGGCTGGTTAGTTTTGCGGGTATAGGGTGGATTTGTTGGTTGGTTGGTGTTAGGTAATTTGATTTTATCCCATATTACCTTAAAGGACGACACACCCGGGGAGAGAGAGAGAGAGTAAATTGATTATTTGTAATGTCCATGTGTGTGGCTCAACCAGGCCCCATTCTGCTCCAGCCTCAGCCTTCTGCTCTTACCAGCTTTGCATACCTGCATTCTCCAATTATCTGTTAGATAATATTTAACCTCCATAACCCTGGAACCTGAAATAAACACACATGACGACAAGGAAGACATTTTACACTGAATTAGCCAAATGGGGGGGAGATCACCATGACACATAACTCTGTCCAGAGCTAGCTGCCAGGCGACTCCCCCTTCCTCAAGAGTCTTCAGTGGTTTTATTCACCAAATGGATGGGGGGAGAAGGCGGACCTTCTCAAGTTACAGAGTTACAGAGTTCTCTCAATTAACATCTTTGCTCAACCTTTTTATGAACATACCAACACAGAGATTCATGATGTGTAATGGGCATCTTTTAGGTCTCAAAAAGGTACATTTTTATAAAAATACCCAACATTCCCTCCTGATGTGACTTTTTGAGCAATAAAAGATTAAACCAATAAAACAACATTAACATGAAATTAGGACACACCTAACCTGGAATTTGAAATGACCAATTAATCAATCGGATTTTAGTTCAACATTAAACCAGACACCAAACCCAATTTTATCCTGTATTTCTAGCTTCATTAACTTATCCCCCCTGAATGCTACCTTTGAGCAATGATTATCCTGTCAACAAAACCCAGAGCAAGAGTTAAAACCTGGAATTAGGAATGAATAATCTAGACACCAAAACCTACATAATAATCTTGAATTCCTAGCTTTATTAAAGTAACCCATATCATTTGTCATCAAACACTTGTGGATCTTCTGCTCCACATCAGTCGTTACCTCCTGTGCTGCAATCGATCGCTTGTAGGACTGAACAGGTGTCACAGGTTTTGAGTTTTCTGTGGCTGGCTGACCTGCAGTTCTGGTTCCCTCCTGAAGTTGGTGTTTGACCTCTGCACCTCATCTCCAGTTCAGGTGTGATATCTCGGTCACACTGTGCTCTCAGCTTTGCGTCGTCCCGCTGACGTGTCGACGCAGGTCACTTCCTGAGAGAGCTGACTGGCCCACAGCGGGTTTTGTGGTTTTACATCAGCTTACAGGTTGGTACCGGTTTGGGCTAACTGATCCACTTGGTTTGTGGTTTAACATTAGCTCAGCCGGTGACGGTGGTTTGTATCACTTCCGTCTTGGACTGCAAGTCAGCAGTTAGCCACGTCTTTCGTGCTTCCTCCATCTTGGATTGTGGGCTCCACCTCCTTTTCAACACACCTACAAGTCACAAACGTTTCAAAGACCCACAGCAGGATGCCACAGGCACAGACCAATTTGCATTCTGTTAGACATGCGTTCAACTTCCACAGCTGCTTGCTCAAAGGAACTCAGATCCTCTGAAGTCTTTTCATCGACACTCTTCTCCTGAGTCTGAGCCATTCCTGCATTCGGAGAGTATCAGGACAGGACATAGCAAACCATCTTGTGTTGCAATCACAATACCTTCCTGGTTGTTGAGGGTCAATGGGGCACAAAGCGTCTTGTCCCCGATCTGTGTCCTCTGATGTTTTCTGCAGGAACCAATGCAGCCAGCCACTGATCTTTATCACCTGTTAATCGAGTTCCCATCATCACATCACAGCAGGACACAAATCAAGGAGTCTCCCAGCCTGTCTTGCCTAGGGAACAATTTGCATTTAGGAAAACAGTGTACCCAAAAGTTGTGCTGCCTAATTGTTTAAATTAATAAACATTGATGTCTGGTTTAGCATGAAAATAGCATATGGTCTGTCCTAAATTTTCACAAACAAAATAAAACACATCCAAATTCTTTAAAACTAGCTTGTCTCAAAAGGAGTTAATCAGAGATTCTATCACACTAAGGCGGAGTTTACACAATCACGTCACAGAGGCTTCAAAGAGGTTTTTCACAAAAGGACCCTAGAGTCTTCTAGTCTAGCCTTGATTTAGCTGCTTAGGCTCACACATTTGCATTCAGGCAAAAGGCATTCTAATTTAAATGAACCAGCCCATCTCCACCTTGTAAGGTAATCAAAACTTTATCAGTTACACCACCCCCTCCTGTGGAGGTAGGGTTCTCACACATTTACAGGATCTAAATTAATCAAAAGGAAGTCACTCAGATTTATTAAACCTTATAACCCAAACAGAAAATAAATGATGGTAATAGCTCAAATGTTGAAATAGTTACAAAACAGCCTTACTGTTGAGTAAAATAACATACTACGATCAGCATTATGGTCTGTAGGGGCTGAGTTGATGTTTACATTTCAAACAAGATTTGCATAGAAATAGCATACAGGAAAAATCTAGCACCGTGTTGATTCAATCATGTTATTAAATTAAATCTATCAATGGTCGATAAGACACATTTAACGGGAAGTTTTTACGGTTCATAAAAAATCTAAACACCCTCCTGTAAAGCCAGTCTTATGGCAGAAACACCAAGTTTAACATGATTTAGTCATATGATAAAATGCTGAGATAAAAAACTGTTACTGCATAGTGTAGAATTCTATTTACCTAAGATCATAACCCACTAAAGTAAAACTGAAAAGTTGTATTTTTAATCTTGGTTCATGAGCAAAAGGTATCGTCGGATCCAGAGTAGCTGCTGCACAGCTAATCTACCAGAGCTATAAGCAAAGAGTCTGTCATTTTAAAATGGCATAAGCTAGTTATAAGGTTATGTGCCTCTTA